CTTGCCCATTTTGTTCTACGGTGCAAAGTGTAGTGCGTTGGGCACACGCTTCCTCTGATGTCACGGAGTCAATGTACGAGGTGCGCTTTTTTTAGTGAAGATGCTAGTACTGTGTTTAGGGGGTGCTCTTCCGATAGACCTCTGAGACCGTAGGTTGATTTCTTTCCGGAGTTGCGGACGAGGATTAGGATGGGGTTGTTCCTACGAAAAAGATAACCACATCTTGTACAAGGAGCAAGGAATACCGGAGGTGGTCGCCTAGGTCACCATAGTCGATATGGTCGAACCTAGGGTTTCGAGGCATATGTTTGATTTGCTACCAAAAATTTACCGGGGAGGCTAAACTTTCGGCAACGCTGCGACTTCGCCGAAAACGTAATTTTATGTGGCCGGCAACACAGTTTGGCAACCAACCAAATTACTCGACATTATTTCGGCCAATGCAAATCAGCAGCACGCTAAATTTCGGCACTACAGTTTGGTTGGTGCCAAAACTTGCCCTGCCAAAACCTTGGCAACCTATGTACTTTGGCTCTTGGTTGGTTGCCAAGACTTTGGTTGCCTATGCAACCTTTGGCAACCCTCCTCACAATTATTACCATTTTTTTTTTGCCAACAAAGAGTCAAGGAATCTCTCTAACCGATCTTTTTTTTCCACTGAAAACTGTGAGGCAACAGTAACCGATCTTTTGCGGCTAACCAACGGTCGGCGAATCTTGGTAGGGCATTGCTTTGGCATGAACCAGACATGCCCTAAGGCAAGAATTCTCTCATGGTCACACCAAATGTTCCTATTGTACACTAGAAAATATCTAGATATTGAGTAGTAGTAGTAGTACACAGGACAGCACATTTGGTGCTAGTACTAATTGACTGGGTCTCCAGGCTGGCCAGCTATGGACAGTTGAAGCACTATTACAACATGCCACACAACAACCACATGATAATACAACACATATACATACACAGCAGTAGTTACTGGCTGGGCTGAGGGAGGTCAGTCAGTCAGTCAGTCAGCACCCAAAAAAAAAACACCATTTCAGAGCTAACTCTAGTTACTTACATACAACATGTTTTATAGCATAAATATACAAACGTGTCTAGTGGGAAACTATAATTTACACAGCTTAATGACCACGAGCTTCTGATGTCTGGAACTCATCGCGACCCCGTCGTCACGGGGGAGGATGGTTCTCTGGACGATGTCTGCAGGCAACAGAGTCTATATCAGTAAATGACACGGAAAAGCACCACGCCGTGTCTCTGGATAAAGTTAGCCGGTCCGTTTAGTTGTGTATATCAGTTGGTATAGATTTCTACTCCCTCCGTCCGAAAAAGCTTGTCCCTCAAATGGATGTATCTAGCACTTGTTTATTTTCAGGGACAAGCTTTTTCGGACGGAGGGAGTATGACGAAACGAAAGGTCAAGTAACTGAAGTTATCAGTTTATCACAAATATTAACAGCAACAACGCTTATGCACCATATGTGAGCTACTATATGCAAATTAGCCCACCAATGGTCATCAGGAAACACACTCACCCATTGTTTCAATGGTCGCTACAGGAAACAACGGATGGTCATGATTGATATCAGGTTATCAAACATTAAGCAGTTCTGCAGTTAATTGAGATCAAAACCTCCTATTAAAATGTTTAAGCTTGCATTCTTTGCTAGTATCCAAGAGACAAAGGAAATCTATGAGAACAGCAGCATACCTCGAGCCATGGAAGGGAGTTGCCAGGTACATTTTACTTCAAAGTGTAAAACAACAAGTCCTCCTTATTCTTAGCATAGAGTAATACTGTTGATAAATTATCCATCATAAACAGCCTAAATACCCTAAAAAAGACTCCTCCCTGCCGATACTACCATGACAGCTTTAAGGAAATGCTTCTTTCCTCAACAGTTTGAGACTGCTACGAGTCTGAACGGATCAACTGCGGCACCGGGACCTTATTAATTAAAGGTCTCAGAGTTTCCATGATATTAGCAAACGAGGGCCTCCGCCATGGCTCGCTGTAAAATGCATATAGAGATATTCTGGTTAGC